GATTTGATCCAAAGCACTAAAAAATATAGCGTTGCCCAACTTAAGGGGGAGAGAAAGTATGTGTTGGCCATTGACTAAAGCAAGCAACCAGAATTGGGTCACTTTAGGTAAGAACGTGGGCAACGTAGGTCCATAGGGACTAGTGGTCGGCAGACACGTGCACATGTTCTTTCATTTCTCATGGCTTTATTTGTATCTGTTGCAAACAGGCCTTCTCTGCATAATGGGGAGCAGGGTTGCTGGCAGTCCCTGCCTCTTCGTGACAGGTTAGTGACTGTAGAAGAAAAAGATGACTTCTCGTCATCACTTCCAAATATAAAAATTTCAGGGAAGGGCTCTGGTAGGCTCAGATCAGGTCATGTCCAACCCTGACCAATCACTGAGGTCCCAGGAATGGAGGTGACGTGATCAGCCAGGCCTGAGTCCAGGAGGCCCAAGGGATTGGGTGGTACAATTTCCAGTACTGGTAAATCCCATCGTGGGAAGAGGAGAAGTTTCCCTGAGAAGAACCATAGCAGGAAAACGGGGAAAGGGACGCTGAGCACAGATCACTGATGCTCACTGGACCGCTGAAGGCAATGACCATCTGTTGAACTTTGCAGAGCGCCAGGTGCTCTACCAGGTACTTGACATGCGTTGTGAATTTTGATACTCAAAGCAATATTTAATGTAGCCATTATTATCCTCATTTTAACTGACGAGAGAAGCAACAAAGTTACTTCCAGAATGAGGAGCCCAGTTATTGCATTCTCCTCACAGGCAGCTTGAATCGGCTGCAACACCAGAAGCTCTTACCCCAAATCATGTCAGCTCCCTCCCCTTCCCATTGGATGAATTCGGGTTAAGAATAGTAATTAACTATTTCACATATTTCTTCTTTTGTTGCTTATTGGGAATTTCTATAATCAAGGATTCTCTGAACCTGATGGGAAAGGCCCACGAGGTGACTCGAGGCACGTGGTGCAGGGTGGGAGGGCACGTGGGGCTGACGGGTGCTGGGGCAGTGGGAAGGGGAGAGCACAGGTCCCCGACCATCCCAGACACCTTTGTCATTTGTCCAGGGATCCGGTATTCATGTGGTTATATCTACATCCCACAAACCACATTTCTTGAGACTACACTCTGAATCCAACATTGTCTTAAGGGTACAAGAGAAAAGAGGCCCATTGCCCAAGAAACTCACAGCCACAGGGGAGGAGAGACAAGCAAGTCATGCTGATATGCATGGCCCTGTGGCCAGGGAAGGCTTCCCAAAGGAGGGAGCACTGGATCTGAGTCTGTAAGAACAAGCAGGAGTGTTACTAGCAAAGACAGGTGATGTGTTCATTTATGTTGCAGTCTAGGGATAGTCAGGTGCTCTGATCAGAAATTGATGCTCCAGATCATTTAACCAGAAAGGTCTCATTCCAAAGTAAAGGACTGGGGTTCCGGCTTCCTAATCCCAAAGGAAACTCGAAGCTTTGTCAGGATAGTAAATGCCAGGAATGGCTTTTCAGTGGGGGAAGTGATTGGCTTCTTAATTAATACAATGGGTGACAGAAATGGTCTTTTGTTGATGGAATTGTTGGTGTTAAATATATATGAATTCAATATACACTGGGTAAAGTATTTGAGAGAACTTTCCTACCTCTCCTTAATCAGGGTATAGGATCTACCCAGGACTTTAGCCTGTGTGCTGAGGGTTATCTCAATGACGGTTGGAGGATTCTGGCTGCTGCTGCTATTACAAGGCTCATGGGATCCTGCTTCTAGAACATTGGTGCACCCGCTTTTGGTGTACTTTTATTGTAAAACAGCTGCCAGATCATCTGAGAAAGCAGAGCCCTGGACGGTAGTTACCAAAGCCATAGAAGGATTGCATGAGTGGTCCCGTGCCCGCTTGCTAATATGTGTTTGATTAAAAAAGCATCTCTACATCATGCAGAAATTGGTCCTAAAAGCTGTTTTCATCATAACATAGTGAAGATGCGGGGTTTTGGGGCTACCTTTACCTGGCAAAAAAGATTGTGTGTGACCAAATTCGTTTAGGCCAGTTTGCAACAAGAAATGAAGCCAGGTGGTACAGAAGCCCCCTGGGCAGAGGAACACCGGGATGCAGGTGTGGGCAGTTCTTAGGGACTTGAAAATTAGGTGGGTTTGCCTGGGGTGCTGGTCACTTGGGGGAGATGGCAGATGAGAATGTGTCCCTTCTGAAGTGCTTCTGTGCTCTACTCAGTTTGGACTTTATCCATCAAATTATCATTGTTGAAAAATGTGCGCAAGGATCGCCCACATCGGATCACCTGAGGGAAAGGGACTCTGGATTTGTTGTTTCAAAAGAAGCTCCCCAGGTGATCTTCCACCTGCCAGGGTGTAAGGTACCATTCTTAAGCCATTGGTGTTGGCTTTGCAAGGTGCTGGGCAGGGGCCACTGGATGGGTGGCATAGCCAGCGCCTCCAGCAGCAGGGCGTGTGGATGGGGGGGACAGGTCAGAGGTCAGGAGGTTTCCGATAGCCCAGGTGATGGTGCTGGAAAGGAGGGGCCATTTCAAAAGACATTTTCGGGAGTGGGTAGTGGTCAGCCTGCTCCAGTGACCGATAGGCTGCAGGAAGGGCTGGGTCACGGAGCCAGCACAGGTTCAATGACTGACAGATTTCTGGTTTGCGGACAGGATGGAGAGTAAGAGTAGCAAGCCTTTCCCAGGCTACTGTCGGGTCTGTCCCTTTGGCCCTGGGAATGCAGATAGAAGCGTTCCATGCAGTTCTGTCATTGCCTGGGGCTGTCTGGGCTGCTGCCCCACCACCCACGCTGATTTGTGTCACCGAAGCCCCCTCGGCCCCCTCGTGGCCACCTTGCAAGCAGCTGCTTGCTTCCTCCAGGTCCTCAGTCTCTGTTTGTGTCACACCTGGTCGATGACGGATTCTAGAAAGTATCGTTAAAAATGAAAAGAGCATTATTTGATAACAAAGAAGGAGCTATTATATCCTTCACTATTTAGCTCCTTTTAAATAAATAAAACTAACCCAAAAAGTGAATTATGCAAAAAAAAAAAACCTAAGGGCTATTTCCCGCTGGTCACTGTTGCCCCAAATCCCTGCCAGATGGTCAAGCAGAGCAGCTCGGGTTCCCGCCAATTAGAGAACCTCATTAGGACTCGATTTCATGTTTCCAGATTCTCTACGTCCTTTACATCAGGCGATGATGACTTCTTAAACTTGTACGACAACATAATGAATGCATGTTAGTGAAGTGTTCAATGAAATGTGAGACAATCAGTGAATTCTTTGCATATTTTATTTTTCTTTTTTTGATTTCCAACTCACACACATCTGGCATATTTTACATCTTTGCAATAAAACATGGTTACAATAGCTTAAGGAATTTATATATCCAAAATATTTCACCATGATCTCAAGATGAAATGAACTTGTCTTCCAGATGTTCAGTATCCTCCCAATTCTAAGCTACAAACTCAAGATATTGCTTACAGCCTGGTGATGAATAACTTAATCATTACGCTGATTCCCCATAATTTCAGAATTTCATAAATACAAACAACAATGAAGAAGGAATTCAGTGCTAAAACTTACTAGTACGAGGTGGATAACAAATAAGTAATCACATCAATAAATAATGATATGTTTCTGGTGCAAAGTGCCAATACAAAGAACCCATTATCTTGTTTTATCTTTTTAAATAAATGACTGCAAGTGAGTGTAAATTCTGAGAAAATTACATTCCTGTAACATGCCTCATAGCCCTACCGACACGATATGTACACCTATGACAATACAGTCACCAAATATACAAAGAAGAAACATGAAGAAAGTGTATATACCCCTGGGTGTATAACTTGATTAGTACAATGAATGGAAAATCATTTGATAGCCATCATTTTATATCATAAAAGACGAAGTGCCTTAGGCTAAGAATGTGGCTTTAGGTGAGAATTTCACAAGAACCTAAAAGAATAACTTCAGTTATTGTTGTAATAAAGTCTGACTTGTTATTAAAGAAACTAAGCTATTCAAGAACCAAAGAGGAAAAAAAAAAGTTAGCATCAGATTCTCCTCCCCTACTGTATACACACTAAGCCGGCGGGATGACTCTGGAAGAGATGTCCAGGCGTCGGGAAGTCATTACTATGGAACTAACGACCATGACCCCTATTTATACAGTAAAAACCAGGACCTCATCCCTAAGCCCCCTTTCTGCTGTGTCTTCAAATTATGAAGGGTAGGGCTGAATTTTCTGTGTATAAAGTACCAAAAATGGCAAATAATGGCTTAGTATCCAAATGCTTTATGAGCAAATTTCACTAAGGAGGAATGAATTTAGATTAAAAAGTGCAAACCATATTTTGGTGAAAATGTCAAAAATTACTGATTGAGCCCAAATTCAACCCTTTCATACAAGCTGTGTCCTTGGACAGATCTTTCTGTTTCGTAGTGTGAATGCGCCTGTTCCATCAAGACATTAGGAGTAAGGAACATGCAAGTTGTAACTCCACAATAAAATTAAGAAACATTTTGTTCTTTATACAAGGTTTTACTTTTACAAAAGTATCCCTTTTAAATAAGATGCATCTGATGTACAAAGTATCAAACGTGTTTTTTTTTTTTTCTCAGCTTGAAAAGAGGCTGGAAATGGGATGCAGGTTAGGTTCAAAGCTTAAACTTTGTAACAACTGGACACAAGGTTCCTCAGAATTGTCAAAAGTCTCTTGTGACACGTCCTACAACCTTTTCTCAATAAACAACAATATATGAAATAATTACCAAAACATCTCCTAATTCATATAATTTACATGATATAAGCTTGCTTGGTAGCAGCTGGTGTTCAGTTGTGAAAAAACACACAAAGTAAAATGGTTGCTGACTACAATGTACAGCTATTGCTGGGTGTGATGGAATGTACAAACGGAGGTCGATGTAGACAGGTCTTTCCACCAGAGATATTGCCTTTCCACGCAGCACTTGTGCTCTCAGCTTTAACTTGGCTTTTGGTTCTTCCTTTACCTTCAGTATCTGTTCTGATGCTCATAATGCCACCGATTAAAATCTATATTAAAAGCTACAATGCTACCAGAGGCCATGCCGGTAATCAGAGTCCTGGAAAAGCAGAAAGAACAGTTAAGAGTGACACATGATCACTTACATGGTTGCTATTTTATACCAGACAATATCATGATCTCAAAGTTCACCAAGTCTTAATTTTGTGTTTATCAAGATGGGATGGACATCTATCTCTTCTCGATTCTGCCAAGAGAAGCTGTCAGTTGTGTGCACACCTGGACGGCCAGCCCCGGGGTGTATGAGCTGATCTTGGAAAGCCACGTTTCCAGCCTCCTCTGGGCACCCTGCGCCTCTTGGCAATCACACTCATGCCTGTCCACTGCCTCCCTTTCGACGTCTGCCGGCTTCTCTGAGGATTTCTGGCCTTTCTTTCCTTTGTCTCCTGGAATCACTCCACCCCTTCAACGCTCACCCCATACGCCCTCCTCAGTGTATACCCAGTGCCATCGCTTTCTGACACCCCCGTACTGAATCCCCATTGCCAACTGCAGGGCACTGCCAGGAGGTATCACAAAACCTTCAGACTCAACACATCCACCCTGGGTCACTGCCACCTCCTGGCCTTGCTGTTCTTCAGCTGGTTAAGTCACCCTTGTCTCCTCTCCCCGCCTTCCAACTTAGCAGCCATCCAGCCCTGAGGCTTCTTTCTCGGGGAGGCTCCTCCCCGCCTCACTACCACGACCCTACTCGGGTTCCACGATCTTCTGTCTACAGCAGCTGTTGCTTCACTTTTGATTGGACGCTTCGTTGGATAAATACCTTTTGAGTATACATCCCCAATATATATTTATCAACAAAGATAATCAAAATTAAGGACAAGATTAAAATAGAAATAGAAATTTAATTAGCATCTTTCCTCCCTCCATTTGGAGACCCCTAATACTACTGCAACTTGGAATGTGGGCTGTGATCCCCCCTCTCTGCCTGTGCCTGGAGACTGGACGAACATCTTATGAGGTCTCTCCTGCTCTCCCCAGCCCTCAGGGAGAGTTCATCTCTTCCCTTTTCTGTTTTTCTGTCCCCGTTGCCTCGTATACAATGATCAGGATTATTAGAGCTCTTTGGAGTCAGTAATCTTAGCACGTTGCATGGTACTCAACCTATGATGACAGCAGCAAAATGAATACATGAATGAATAGGAATATCAGGGAGAATTTAAACTACTAAGCACACACATTATTTTGAACACTTTAGAAACACCCAAGTATATACAAATAATTGCACAGTAAACCATTCCCATTTATTCATAAGTATGGACTGCAGCACTTTGGAGCACTCTAATAATAACCTTAAACTTTCTTTAAAAACAGTCTGGGCTGTGCAGCAAACATCTTTCCTCAGAATAAATTTGATCACATTATTTTTCCTGATGACTTTAGTATCATTTTAATATATTGTGAAAATGCTTTGTTAAATTTATTATATCTTAATATTTAAAATATTTTAAAACCAATATTGTTATAAGGAATCTTCCATACAGTTGAAAAAATGTTAATTGTCAAGCTTATTTCCGTTAGATAACAAAAAATGAGAAATTATGTACCATATTCAGATTATAGGGTTATAGTTTATTTTTAAAATTTACAAACTTTAGGTTTCATATTTCTAATATTATTTTCTTTACAAGAAACCCAAAGGTAAATTTTAGAAAATAATAAAGTCCTTTTGCAACTGAAGAACAATGGAAAAATCATATTAATTAATTAACTACCAATCATATCAACTCTTTTCAAGAAAGGATTAAAGTGTTTTAGGGGAATGCATAAAATAAAACAAAATAACATAAGTGGGAAACAGGTAAATATCAGTAAGAAATTGGGGGTAAAAGACTGTTTCAAGTGATGAATCAGTGCCTTGGATGTTTGAAAAGGAGGCCAGCTGTAGCCCACACTGTGCACTTTGCTGGAAATTGCTAGAAGTAGACCTCACACTGGAACCCACCTCTGCTGAAAAATACGTGTTTTCCTCACATAATATAAACCAGGGGAGGCCCATCTGAGACTAGGTGGGATCTGAGAACAGAGAAGTTGGTGGGAATAAGTTCTATGTCTTGGGCTTTAAAATGAGCCTGGATGTGCCTGTTCTTCATTGGACCCATTTCTTTTTCTGGTTCTTACTCTCTTCCTCTGTTTCCCTCTTACCAGAATCCTTCCTTAGAGTTCTTACTCCTTCCCTCAATCTACCCTGTTCTGTGCTAGTCTGTCTTTCACTGGGGGCTGGAATCTCATTCACAGCACAATTCAGCCTTGGTAGAATGAAGAGCTTTTGATGACAGTTGTCAGTGATTACATTTGTCCTTGACGCAGCTCACCTCTGGTCATGGGACAAGTCCATTGCTCTAATGCCAGCATCGCATCCGGGGTAAATGTACAGCTGCTTGAAGTCGCAGGCCTGCCAGACCTCCACCACACCATTGTCCCCTCCGGTTACCAGGTTCTGGCCATCGCTGCTCAGGAGAATGGCCTTAGAAAAGGCAAAAACCAACCATTTCACTCACATTTTCTTAAACAGTCAACTGTCACTACTGAAAAGCACTCAATGCAGTTCCCTCATAATTATCTACTTTTAGCCATTTTACAAGTTTTTTTTTTTTTTTGAGACAGAGTCTCACTCTATCACCCCGAGCAGAGTAGAGCATCATCCTATATAGCTCACAGCAACCTCAAACTTCTGGGCACAAGTGATCCTCCTGCCTTAGCCTCCCAAGTAGCTGGGACTACAGATGCTACCACGCTGGCTAGTTTTTCTATTTTTAGTAGAGATGGGGTCTTGGTCTCGCTCAGACTGTTTCGAACTGCTGGCCTCAAGCAATCTGCCCACCTCGGCCTCCCAGAGTGCTAGGATTACAGGCGTGAGTATGTATGAGTTTTTTGAAGTCCAACCTGTAGAATTTCCAATGCGGAATTCATCAGTGTTCTTACATATACAAAGGATCTTATTAAAACCAATTTAAGTTATAAAATTACAGAAGTCTCAGAATATTATCAATTTAATTTAGGAAGACCTTGAGAATCAAGTAACATGATGTTTAGTTAAATCCTATTAACAATGCTGAGACTTTTAGAAAAAATGGCAGAAGCATATTTCACAACAGTTTTCAATAACAATAAACCAGTGATTATAATTCATTTGTGAATGAAGGGCAAATGGGCACATGTGATTTTGGTTTAGGGTTCTAAAGACAGGGCTCTTTGACGACAAACTCACTTTAATGTTATGAGGGTGCAGCGCTGAAACAATCATTTGTAAAAGGAGCCTAAAAAAAATCTCCTTAAGGTCCAACCTTTAATCAACCAACAGCTATCATTTCTGAAATACGGTTCACTGAGTTAATTACCTGGGATTAAATGAACTTGGGTTTGTTCAAAGTCTCAGTCTACATGAATGTATATGCCCTTAACCCAGAGCACATTTATCTGGACACCACAGAAATTCTACCATGAATCATTTAATGTCAAACAATCAATCTTTAATCTCTTGGCTTCAGTCCAACTTAGCATGAAATATGCAGATTTACCCGTGTTGAATCATTGATCTCCATTTGAGCCAAAAGTTTCCCATTAATGCTGAAATTGCTGAATCGCCCTCGTTCATAGTAGATGATACAATGGCCTTCGCTGGAGACAGAAATCAAGCGTGGGAACAAGCAGTTTTCTGGTCCTTCAAGGGCTCTCAGCAGATCTCCAGTGATGGTGTGGACAAGGCAAGGGCCCTCTGCAGAGTGGGGACATGAATGGCCAGGGTCAGTTGGTGATGACAAATCACACACCAGCTCTCACCAACCCCAAAACCTCATCTGGGTATGCACTTGATTGGCTTAAAGAACACAGTAAAGGCAAGAGGTCTGCTGGCCAGAGCCCGGCACTGATGTGATATTTCAACAGAGCAAACACAGAGAAACTTTTCAATAATCTGTACACATATAATACTTGGTCATTTCCTTCATCAGATAATATTCACAATAAAAGGATAGTTCACAGATTATATGAGAATAAAAGAGTTTATGTTCCAGACATTTTCTCTTAATGTGCTTCTAGAAATTTTTCTTGACAGTTTAAAAGAATTATCAGAACAGTTGCTAATTTTCTCTAGTAGCATCAACATTTAAACATTGCACCACATAAATATATTACTTTCAAATATGTTTTAATTTTTTCTGTTGTCTATATGTAAAATGTAAAAGCAAAATTCAGTAAATTAATTAATTTAGACTACAGAAACATATTTTGTTTCTAAATAAATGAATAGTGAGGCAAGAGTGTAAAAGTAGTATGAGGAGTGACTTATTTTGCCCCAATTGTTTTGGGCTTGTTTTGCCCTTGTGTTTTGGTGTTGATAAGATTAACAAAACAAACAAACAAACAAAAACCTTACTGGTCAAGTTCATAACAATAATTGGTTAATATGGTTTGGTATATCTCTACTCCCCTTTCCAAAAAAGACCTCCACAAAAACTGTAAATGAATTACATTTTTATTTTTCAATCAGTTTATTTGAATATATATATATTTTACAAAACAAGTGACACTATAAAGCTATACCCAAGTTTTTTCCTGATTACTAAAGTAACAGGTGTATACTATAGAAAATTAGAAAAAAAAATAGCAATCTTCTCTAATATCACTCACAACCTATAGAAAATTAATGCTTTTTCTTTATGTCTATTATGTGTTATTTTCCTTTCTTTAAAACTTTACAGGATAGAATAATATCACACACATTGTTACCTTTTTTAAAAATTAAGAGACATTTATTGAAAATATCATTTGTCCATATCTGGGGTATTTACTCTTAGAAATGTAGATAAAAGAAACATGGTCCCTGCCCTCAGACTATATCCATTCCCTGTAAAGCAGCCAGAACAAGCTCTAACAACCAAATCAGATCATCTCATCACCTTGATTAAAACTCTTCAATGGTTTCCCACTATATTTATAATAAAATAAAAATTGCAAATCCTTGTGCATGGGCCCCTCCCACCTGTTCAGCCTTCTGCCCCCTGGACGCTGAGCACCTGCAACACTCCAGCGTGTGGTCATTCAGTTTCTCCTAAGCACCAGGCTCCCTTCTGCCTTGGGGCCTTCCCACCAAGAACTGCTATGGCAGCCAGAATGGGGACCTAAGTTTCCTGGCTCCTCCTGAAATGACACTTCTTCCACAAAAAGTCAAAAGAACCAAGTAACCTTGTTTCCTTTCCACCAGCCTCTATACAGCCCCCAGCCTTGTAAAGAAAGGGACTGGGGGAGGGAGGGGACACTAGGCCAGTCCCATGAGCAACCTGATCCCTGTACCGCCCCACCGCCCCACTGCATCAGGGGTATTTTCCCCATCTTTGAAATTCCTTTTTAATGGCAGCATCATACGGATGCACTGCAGTTTATCAGTGTGCTGGTTAGAATGCTGGGGATCACAAAATATTGCATAAAATTTTACACATATTTTATATTAGTACTAATCAATAATAATAAAACTAAACACCTGCAAAGAACCTAGGAATGACATTTGTCTACAGAGAGCCTCCTGGAAGAAAGAAACCGTAAATCATGGTTAGCTTGAAAAAATGGTACATTTTCTAAAGATTTAAAATGAAAGAAATGACTTCTGACCTTTAGCACCACTGATAACGAGTCCAAGTTCTGCACAGACAGAAACACAGACAACTTCGTGGTCATGGCCTGTGAGGACAGCTCTTGGTGCAGGATAGTCACCTGTAAGACAACAGCAGCAGTGAGCCACTGCAGACCAGTGGCAGGAGTAGAGCTACACCACTAAATCCGACGTTTAAGAAAACAATCATCAGTGTTTATTAAGGGCATTATCAGTAAACTGTGTGACCACGAACCAGCTACTTCTCTGCTCTCCTTATCTGTGAAATGGGCGTAACCACCAGACCCACTACACAGGCTGTTAGACGACAGGATAAGTTAACTCGTGCAATGTGCTGAGAACATCATGAGGTGGCGAGGGCTATCCTTTTTATTGTTACAAAACAGGCACAATGCCTGCCAAGGTGTTTACAGGTGTTACCTCATTTACTGTAGTAGGCTCTATGAGGTAGGTACTCTTATCATCCCTGTTTTATAGCCTAGACGCCCAAGGCTTTGCTAGATTATTGAACGTGCCCAGGTCCGTAGAGCCAGCAAGTGCTGGAACTGGATGAACCCAGAGCTATCTCACTCTGACATCTATGCTCTTACCCATTTTAAAAAGTTCTCCAAAATATCCAACAGAAAAAGAAGAAATGCTTTGATCTGGGGGACAGAGGAGGTAGGAAGGTGGGTGTGGGGAAAGTAGTGAAAGAAAGAAGAGATAATTATCTTAACTCTACACTGATATTCCATAAGCATTCTCACTGCTGAGTGCTTTCACAGACGGAATAAATGTCCTCTAAGTCAGGCGTCCCCAACCTATGGTGAGTTGTATAATTATTTCACTATATATTACGAGGTAATAATAGTAGAAATAAAGTGCACAATAAATGTAATGCACTTGGATCATCCTGAAACCATCCCCCACTCCCCAGTCCGTGGAAAAATTGTCTTCCATGAAAACAGTCCCTGGTGCCAAAAATGTTGGGGACCGCTGCTCTGAGTGACAGACATTCTTCTAAGCGGGCTATGAGGTGGGCGTATATAGAGGAGTAAGGTGTACCCTGGAACTGTTCGAAACACATCAAACAACCACGGCCTGTCACAGGCTTACTACCACTTGGGGCACTCGACAAGACGAGTGTGAGGAGGAACGAAGGTAGGGCAGAGTCCAGCAGGAATCAAAAAAGTCCTCACAGAAATGAAGAGAAAATCAGAATATTGGTGAATACGCTGCACGCACATAGGACAGTGTGAGAGGGTCAGCAAGTTGACAGGGCATCCTGCCCAACACGTCTTGACTGGGAAAGCTGTTGGGAGAAGCCAGGTTGGGATGGAAATGGGGAATCATTACAGGCTTGGGGTAGAGAATTGTAGAGGGAAAGGAAACAGGAGAAAGTCAGAGAGGAAATGTGTAAGGTAAATGGGGTGTGGTGCCATCCTGGGTAGGGTTTTGAGTGGCTCCTTTGGAAGACAGGAGAAGACAGCCACTGCTGGCCACACTGGATGGTATATGACCGCCTGACTCACTGAAGTAAAACTCTGTTGAGGGCAGGGCAATCAGAAAGAAAGGTGTGGAACATTTAGTAACTGCACAATATGGATCTGAACCATTCAGAGTCAATAAACATTTATTAATGCCTTGTAATACCCTAGTATTTCCATTTTTCATTAACAGTATCGCACTTGTTAATGTCTTATGTTGCTTATATCCTCCCATTTCTCTCTCTTTTAGTTTTTTAAACAATTACAGCAGACTCATTGTATAATATTGGTTCATCCTGGATGTATTATTTAGTTGAGTTATAATATTGTCCTAGCAAAAAGCAAGCACAAATATGCCTTTGTGTGTATATATACATAAATATCATTATTTCATTTTAAGTTGCCAGTTTCATTAACTATTACTTTTTCTCCTTGAAAAAGTGTGTTGTAATTTGGTTACCTAACTATAACTCTTTGAGAATTCTTGGTACATCTCAAACTAGGGTCAATGTACCCTGGGATGTATGGGAGTGAGAGGTTCTATAAAAAATTTTAAATTTCAGATTACAATTTAATGAATTTCTGAAAATATTTTTTAACCAGTTATAAAGATAAAACCTCTTTCTGATGTCAAATTTGCTGTGATAATTTTTTGCTATGGAGATTTAAAATTGAAATGTGCTTTAAGATGAGCTTATTAGCTTAGTGTTCCTCAAACTAGGGTTCAAGGAGTCCAAGAACACATTCCTAGGAGTTTGAGATTGTTTTGCTTTTCAGGCACCTAACCTGGATGGAGTGTGGGAGAAAGGGGCCGACAGCCCACGTTAGTTTGCCATTGTATCCTAAATCTATGGATGTTGCTATAATGTGTTTTGAATATTGGTAGAATATCATTTATATTTTCAGCAGTCCTGGATTTGTCTGAAACATATTTATATAATATATGAAATTATGTTTCAAAGATGCCCTGAGTTTCCTGGTAAAATGAGGATTAGGTATTGATAAAATTTCTAAAAAGAAAGGAAATTAGCATATTGAAGAGACATCTGCACTCTGATGTTCATCGCAGCACTATTCACAATAGCCAAGATATGAAATCAACCTAAGCAAACTGTGGTTTATATACACAATGGAATACTACTTAGCCATAAAAAGGAAGGAAATCCTATCATTTGCAACAACATGGATGGAACTGAAGGACATCATGTTAAGTGAAATAAACCAGGCACAGAAAGATAAATATTCCATGTTCTCACTCATATATAGGAGCTAAAAAAATTGATCTCATGGAGGCGGTGAATAGAATGGTGGTCACCAGAGGCTGGAAAAGGTAGTGGGGGAGGGATAAAGAAGGGTTGGTTAATGGGTATAAAAATACAGTTAGATAAAAGGAATAAGATCTAGTGTTTGGTAGCACAATAGGGGAACTATAGTTGATAATTCATTGTACATTTCAAAATAGCTAGAAGAGATTATCTGGAATATTGCCAACACAAAGAAATGATAAATGTTTAATTGATGGATATCCCAATTACCCTGATTTGATCATTGCACAATTGTATACAGGTATCAAAATATTATATCGCATGTACCCAGTAAATACATACAACTATTATGTACCATCAAAATTAAAAATTAAAAAGTATCAGTAAGATTTTATGCATAATATTATCCTTAATTTTTCTAAATGATTATTTTGTCTTAGAGAGACTGGCATATTGAAAACCCTGAAATTATAAATAAATTTATATAAAACAAAGTTTTTGAGACCTTTCCCTTGTATGTATAGAAAAAAAAGCAATTTAATCTTATTGCAGGGAATTGAGAAAAATGTAAAATAATATTAAAAATATTCTTTATGTATGTTATATGTTTTCTGTTAGGAAATAAGTTTTTTCAAAAAGGCTTGTGTCTCATTTAGAAGTTTAACATGTTTTATTTTTTTCATCACAATTTCCCTAGATCATTTGAATAAACTGTGGAACTTAACTATTAGGGGATATTGTTTAGGGCCCCTAAAAAGCACTGTTTCCCTTTTTAAGTGACAGAAAAGTAGACAAAATGCTATTCCAGGCTTCTTGAGCTGGGAAACCTGCAGCCAGGGGAAAGCCTATTTCCTATATTTCATTTCATTGCCAGGGACAGATGTCACACACCCCAACAATCATTCAAAATCTCGGGAATATTCTGTCACTGTCACATCACAGTTGATGGATGTGGCTCAGGGTGAAAGGGCCAGTGCAGAGGGAGGTGCAGGTGAGACCCCCCTGCGAGGACCACAGCACAGCGCCCTCAGCCCCACCCACTTCCTCGCGGAAGAGCTCTGTGTGCTGGAATTACCAGGACTGCTAAAGCACAAACGCCCAATTTTGAGATTCCTTATAGGCAAGCCCTTGGAAACTCCAAATATAAAAGGCTCAAAGTAAAGATTCCATCTCATTTTTATCAGAAATCGTTTCAATATTCTCAAAGTGGATAAGAAAAAAGTATTAGATGCTGCTATTCCCATAGACCTGACAAGGAGAGCTTTTTCAGTGAGGTGGTCTGCGGATTTTAGAGAAACGGTCAAAGCAAAGATAACTCACAGTTCCTATTTTAAGCTTTGTTTGTGGCACTAGTGATATGCAGGGGAAGCTCTGGTCCTTCTGAGTCGCAGCCACACAAAGGCCATGGAGCATCTGAGACCTTGCCCCTCAGTGCGGTTCTGCCGGTGTCAGAGGAGGAACCTCTCGCTACACGACATTCAGATTTTATCCCTGACCTTTGTGCAGTCGCTGAAGCATCAAGGCAGACGGTATTTTCATTCCCGTTTATACTTGCATAAAATATGACGGACTTTTAAAATTTAAAATCCCAGAATAAGGGATTTAGTGGAAGGGTGAGGTCGTTTCATTATTACTATGATTTCGAGATTTATTTCGAAGTGTTGTTAGAAATTTGCTGGGACAGCCGAGAAGAACAGTTTCAGTGAGGAGTCCCCTAGCACCATACAAGTCCTCAGCCACAGGCAGGGCTGCTGCAAAGGTCTGGCCCAAGGACCAAATGTGGCTGGGCCTGCATTTCCCAAGGTAACAAAGTCACACAAGTAAAAACATTCTGTGGGTTGGAAAATGACAAATTGGCACATGATATGGTTTCGTTGTATTACATACTCAGAGTGTTCAGTGAAGAACAGAAGATAGACATGATAAATCTATTTTCTCATTCACTCTCAGTCCTTTTTCCTTCTCAGAGATGACTCTGACTACACTTTCCTGTGAGCATTGCCGTTGCAAGGCAGTCTCCTCCCTTGAAGTCTGAACCTGGATCTAGGCCACTGTATGTTTCTGTCCTACCATCACCTTCCAAAAACTACCAATGGTATCATCCACCTTCCTTTCCCCAGGAAGCTGGGCTCTGCATAAAGCCTAGACACCCTCTGGCCTGTCGTCTGAAGCTCTCTGGTCAGGACAATGTATTAGTCACTCTTGTTTATACTGCTTCTGACCCAGGCCAAAGACCTTTCTTGAAGCCGCAGTTCCATAAAAGGAAAGGAAAAGCGGAGACCTAGTGGCAAGCAGCTCGCCTCTCAGTCAAGCACCCTGTAAAGTGTCCCGATGTTAGGCTGAGGGGACGGGACAGCCGAGTGGTCTACT